GGCCGATCACCGTTACGGATAATTGACGTCGCGGAACACAGGAAAAGAATATTATACAACGAATTCCCCCCGGTGGCATTGATCGCGGGAACGATTACAAAGTTACCGGGATACATCGATCGTCCCTTTCATATTCATTATTTCCGCGTGAACCGATCGTAAATGTTTTACGGGCGAAATTTATAGAACGATATTTTACCCGGACAATTAAACCGAATAAATTTGTAACCGGACTCTCATTACCATAATCCCCGCGATCCGCAACGCGATCCGATTTTTCTACCTAACCGTGCCCGGTCGCCGCATGCAAATGGTAATCGTTCGCTCGTTTTAAAGGCTCTTGCGTCACTTTGGCCACAATTGCGACGCGTTCGTCCTCTTTTTCGGTCATTAGTGTCGCATCGATATTCGATTTTTTTGTGAATCTTTTTATATTGTATTTTTGCTAAAGTGTATAGAACACTACATCAAAGCTTCCGAAGTGATCTGATGTTTCACTTAAAGTATCGTTACTAGATCTGACAATTTGATATGAAAAAAATAAAGTATCAAATCAACCTTCATATATTTTCTAAGTGACTTTTTAACCGCTTGCCCTACAATATCGTGTGCGACTCGTAACGAAGATTTCGAACAGAATTTAACAAATCATAATGTCATCTAATTCCTTTGAATTTAAATGAAATATCATTTTTCAATTGTCAATCGTAGTTCTCTAAAGTAAACGTAGACATAGAATGAGTATGAATTTCTCTTCTTTCTCTGGTGAATTACAAGCAATAAAATAGTTCTATCGAGTGTAGCTGTGAAAGAAATTATAAGACAAGGGGTTAATAACACATCATTCACCTTATTGAACCAGTGCAATCAAGCGTTTATCGAAATGCCTAAGCTACAGTATTAACACAATTCTATAAAAAGATTTCACGAGGAGATTTGTGTTGAAGCTTTTCCCAGCCAATGCCCCGCATTGATCAGATCCGTTCGTTCCTGTTTCTCCTACGGTTTGTCGAGACCGTAACAAGAATCCCATGTCGCAGGAATATTCCGATAAAGAGCCGACGCGGCACCGTACTTGTAAACTTTCTGCGACATCGTCCGGTACGTACCCCATGGCGCTGCGATAATGAACGCCGTAAAGAGTCGCCACCATCTCTCTGCCGTTCCGCGGGTCACGGTTCTCGTCCAGAGCTTTCAGCAACGATCTCTCGTAGAGATGCACCGCGTCGTATAGATACGCCGTCTCCGGCACGATCTGCCTTATAACACGAAAAGAAAGGAAAAAAAGAGAGAATCAAAGGGATTTACTTTTGAAACTTGACTATCGTCCTCGCGTCCCTCGGCTCTTGGAGCTCTGATCGCGATCTGTCCGCCCCCGGATCGGATTGAAACTTTAGGGGTGGAAAGATTGGCACGGGGATAACGTTTCCTTTCCCAGAGTGAAATGAAAATCGAGCGGAAATTTTGATCTAGCGGAAAACGGATGGATGGTTCCCCCCGCGGGTCTTGTTCGCATCAGAGTTCCGAACGTTTCGAGAAAAACGGACGTTTCCTCGACAATTCTGCGCTTGTGGAAATCGATGGGGAGTCTCATTTCGTCGATATTGCAATCGTGCGCACGAAAAAGTACGTGACATGCGCTGAGCATTCCATAAATAATGTCGATTCTTATGAATATTTTCGTGGAAGACCGCAAAACTTTTTCGAAAATATTGTTAGTGTTAATTTGTTAATTTTTGATTTTAGTATTAAAAAACAACATTGTTTATGGGATGACCTAATAATTTGATTATACGTTAATAAACAGGATTTCAATGTAACTGTTAATTCGAATAAAAGTTTTCTATGATTCTAATTTACAGAATTTCTTTCTATTAATTATATTGAAGAGAGATCTTCTTTTAAGTGCGAAGCTGTCGATTACATAAGTTAATTCATAGATAAATTTTTTTTTTAATAATAGAACTTTTAATTGCATACAGAAATTTTCACGGAAATTTCATCCTAATTTCTATGGTTCAATATATAAAAATGTGTACCATATCAATTAGCTTGACTTTTAACTATGAGATTGTAATAGTCACCTGAACGACACCACCTACGGTTGCCAAGGGGTTGCTGAAGCTGAAAGGTGGTTTCTGCCGGTAAGCGTGAACCATCCTTGTGAAGTTCTTCGAGTATATCGGTGCGGATGCTACCACGCTGAAGTAGCTCCGATAAGCGTTTAAAATGGACGAGTTCGTTTTCGTCTGCCATAGGCCTCGGAAATACTTATCCGGTCGTTTCTCGTCGTATTGTTCAATATCCACGCCGACCACCCAGTATTCCCCTACGAGACAATTCGGGAGAATACTTTTTTTCTTTGTGAACTGTACTTCAATGAAAACTCTACTATTCGTTTTAAAAATGTACAGGGAAATTAAATAGCAACGAAAGAAAAAAGAAAATTAATATATTCCTATCTATGAACTTATTTTACTTAATTATAAAGGTAACATTGTATCTTTGTATATTTTTTCTATCGCGGTGGAAGAATCGAATTCGATCGAAACTGGCAATATAAGGAGCGACATAGTAACACTGCTCTCTAGTATATGTACCTGATTATGTTACAGCAGATTTATACCTTTTTCCAAGAGCTTCCTTTGGTCCAGCGCCATCAAGAGACCCATGTGCTCATAATAATTGCCTAGAATCACGTAAACTGCAACAGAACGGGACACATTTCGCTCCAGTTAATTTCACACAGTTCCCTTGTGTTTCGTCATGGTGGTTCAACAACCTTCGCCGTTTCCTAATTATCTCAAAAGTGGGTTTTGTGTACGGAGTCTATTTTTAGGGGGACGATAAGACAAAAATAGATGATGTTAACCAATGAGGCGAATTATGACCGGTATCTATTCGACGCGCGTCAGATTCCTGTAATTGTAATATGCGGGTTATCGCCTGTGCGCAAGCTAATGGGAGAAGAATTAAAATGCGGGTAGCTTGTTTCGACTCAACAGCCCGTGAAACGTGATTGGGGGGAAAAGTGCTTCCTTGTCTTGAGATCGTTTCACCGTTATCGCGATCCTCGTAAATTAAAAAGAAAGCTGGTCGCCGAGATTCATTCGGGGAAAAGATCTCGCGCGCATCTTCCTTCTTTCTTTTTTGCTTTTTTTCCGCGGCAGTAAAAAGTTCGAAACTTGGGAGAATGTGCACTCGCTTCACTACTCACTCCGAGTTTCCTGATACGTCTCGGTTACGTGCTCGTGGAAAGGATTCGTCATGTGAGTGACGTGGTAAGGTTCTTGCCAGCAACGGAGGAAGTTCACGGTGACACCGGCTGACTCGAACGACGACAATATCGTCTTCGCGATCGTGGACATCTTGTTGAACTCGAACAGGGTTGAGTTCATGTACATGAACGTCACCTGGGAGATTGAATACAATGTCAGAAGCACTGGACGCTATTACAAGTAGTTAACTTGTAGATAGTTCACTACTTTATTGTTACTGTCTTATTTCTGTCATGCAATAATTGGACGTAAATGGTACAAGTGGGTACATAGTTCGTGAAAGATGAGACTGAAGTTAATCTAATGTGAAATGTACAATAATGCAACAGACGAAAGATGAACCGAGAATTTAAAATGAAACAATACATTAGAATACAAACTAACATTTATAAGTATTTGACCATTTGGTAGAGAAAGAATAATATTTGGTTTTCTAGATAAAATATATACGAAAAATGGCCGCCTAAATTGTCCTCACTTTAATACAACTAACAAAGTATAAACAAATAATATAATTATTCAAATAATAAACAACTTATATATAGTTTGTTCTTCTTCTATGTAACAGTTCGATATATAATTTAGCTTTTTCTTCAAAAAACTTTAAATGCTTTAAAAAATCGGTCCTCTGCAAAATGTTGAAAGTAAACTGATCCTTTTCAACCTAACCACTAACAAAATCATAATGTATGGTATTAAACAGAATACGAATAGTACTTGATAAAGATCAAGACGCGAGTAGACTAGTAGGATGATACTCACCTTGGTCCAGTTAAAGGCCATCAACACGGAAACGACCGATTTCGATATCTGCGTGTCGGGTGGCCTGGTCCTGGCGAACGTCGGGAACTCCATTTTGTCGGAGGACTCGCGGTGCGTGCAAAACTAGAAGCAGATCGGGCGAGCAGTTCTCGACCTGAATTGCAACGTTTTCTATTATTCCGACCGGGCGATGGTTATTGCCAGACCGGAATTCAGGTGAACGTGGCCGGGCAGGTAGAGAGATAAATGGCGCGACGCGGCGCGGCGCGGTGCGCGCAAGCCGGTCTCGAATTTGCATTCGGTTTCTAGGTTGGTCTATTACTAGGCTGGAAGACGGGGGACACGTAACAGTGCGTGATTAGTGTGTTAGGCTGGACTTCGCGATATAACGGGCCCACGGAAAATCGAACGAAAAAGCAACTGGCAACACGTGGACAGTGATTCACGGGCGGCGTTGTCCGCCGCATTAAGTAGATCTGCTCGACTGGTTGCATCGAAACAAACGTGATCAGTGGACTTTTCGTTCTCCTCGCTTTCATGTTACTCGACATTGGAATTCTGTAAATGCTTCGAGTCCTGTGTCGTTCGTAGAAAACTTTCAAACAGAACTGATGATTGATCAATCGATGATGATTAATCGATGAAAATTTATGATGAAATCTGAAATGGAAGTTACTTAACAATAGGTTTCCAAAACGCATTATGCTGATGCATACTGTAATTTATTTTTAGCCTTCTAATTGTTAAGAACTAAATGAACGAACAAATTAATTATTAATTAGTAATTATTAGTATTAATTAGTAGTATTAATTATTAAACAAATTATGATACATAACTAAATCAACCCAGCGAAAATGCTTTAGGGTTTGGTTAGGCTGCTGAAAATATTGGAGATAGGAAGTAGTAGATCAAATGGAGAAGTTCTTCTCTTCGACAGCGGAACGAATTATTACACCCTCTTCCGTGAAGAGGTCGATTAATTTCGAGTCGAGTCGGATGCACTGGCTCACGTTCAACGGATCGTAAAACGGCGCTCCGATATTTTTCGGAAATTTGGCCAGACCTCGAAGAAGAAGCAATTCAATGATCCGGATAATCTGTTAGGAAGACGAATGGTTTTTTTCTCTACTCCACGATATGTTGGTGGCTCGGCTTTTTCCGCGATAGCTGCGAAATTAAAAGAAATCTAATGAATTACGCGTAGAAATAACCGCGCGCCGCCAACGACAGCGCGGCCACTCGTTTTTCTTACGGTCTTTCACGTCAATTACACCGCCGCTCTTTTTCTTCGAACGCTATTTCTCAAGTCGCACTTAGCACCGTCTTTGTAGACAGCAGTTTTGTATAATATTAATTGTCGCTGAACGGTTGTACAATTGCTAATGAAATTGTACTTCGACTGATGAGCCTCTCAGGCGAAAACAAATGGTTTACAAATTCCAAAGTACCTTACTGTTCGAAAATATAAGATTTCTGAATTACTATCAGTTAATTATCATTTATGTTGAACTAAAAAAGTAGATTCTGAAATACTTCAAACTTTTTAATTAGTAAACACAAGTTGGAAATTCCTATCAAACCAAAAATGACACAATCTAATTTAGTATCTTCATGAAACAAATAATGTAACTGAGAGTGGTACTTTCTCATTATTCACAGGCTACTATCCATCATTTCCACTCTAATGAAGAGATAGCAGAAACCTAATAAGTTTTACGTAGTGTACGATAGATAGAAACATGCGGAGTAATTAAGTACTCGTTTACTGGCTGCTTTCCGTGCTATTTAAGCATGAGCAATAGAATGTGCGGAACTTTCCGGTAAATCTAATAGATAAAGGCGTTCGTGGTCTACGATCTCGTTGAATGGGCTAAATGTGTCGTAACCTCAGACCAGGGCATTCGTATTCCTCTGTGGTCGGCGAATAATTTATTTGCCCGGTTGGCCCGGCGCTCTCGGGAGCTTAAACCGCGCATTGCATCGTCAGATCACGTCGGAACAAACGAAAAAACGATCGCGGCGAAACACTTCGGGTTGGGACCCGTTCCTACTATTACATAGAGGTACACGGTTCTCAATTTCAATAGTGGCGGGTCGGACGGTGTACCAATGGCGAATGATTCCCGTGGTCGTGATGCTCGTTTTCGGTCGCGTGCTACATATTTTACGTTCGCGTCCTTTTCCGCGTTACGGTCCACACGGAAATATTAAAAAAGCGAGGTGCATTAGTACACGTGGCAAACGTGTAACATAAAATTTCAACAGCTACAAATATTTTCAAATTTTTGAATGTTAACTTGGAAATAATGAATTTTTAAATAGAAAGGGATTACATTGTTGGAACTAATAACTTTAATCATTGAGGAGTCTCGAGATTTGAAGCAAGAAAAATAATTCGAGCCAAGTTTTTAAATTGTAGCTTCTCAAGAGTAGACGGAGGAAGTTATTATTCAATGCAGAAATAAAAGAGGGTCCATAGTTAATGAGACAACCGGCTGCAAGAGGATGTTTCCCTAACCACGGATTTTTCGATACGCGGCCGTTCACGAGCAACCGCAATAAAAGTGGTTTTAGTCTAAAAGCATGCACGCGCCAACTTGTTACTTGACCGGAGTGCTTCCAGAACACTGCACCCACGTATCGCGAGGGTTGGAAGTAGCTGTGCCGGGGGGAGGTTTCCTGGATTTAGCTGCATTCACTAAAGTAATGCATCCGCGAGAGAGCCTTCCGTACTAACGAAAAAATGCAGGAAAGATTCGTATCGCCCCGCTATTCCAATGTTTTCACGAAAATTCGGAATCCTATTAGGGGTTGAGGGCGGTGGTCCACGAGAGAATTTTTTCTCTTCTCTCGTTTTATTTCTGTATTAATCCTTTGCGGTCGAATGTTGTCGTAATATCGACTTCAAACTTTATCTAAAGTCGAAAGTTGAATACAAATAATTGAATTATTTAAACAATGAAAAATTGATATGTGGTTCTCTTCTTTTCTAGTGCTTAATATTCTGTTATTACGATTCTGCGTAAGTTTCTTGTCTACTTCGATGCATAATTCAGAATTTTATGGAAAGAATTTTCAGAAGTTCTCAAAGCTTTAAAGATTTTCTCGTCCGCAAAGAATCAAATGGTTCTTTCCTCGATAAAAGGGGGGATCAAAGATATTTTACTTACGTAAGATATCATAGGAAGGTTGAACGCGGCCGCCATTCTGCCCTCGTGGATGCAGGTTTCCTGTGGACCGATATAAGCGCTGATGTTCCGCGTCCAGAGATCGGCGGTCATCAGGATGCTGGTCTCCTCTTCCCCATAAGTTTCCGCGACGAGGAAGTCGAGCTTGTGCCCGCGTCTGCCGAGCTCCCCTGCGTTCACCTGCGACACACCGGGACCGTTTATCCTTCTCAAAGAATTAATGAAGTTCTACGATTCTTCTCGCGAACGATTTTCACCGGCAGAATCTTGCAGCTTTTATAACTCGGATGCGGAAAACACACAACGCACAGTAAATTTTTATCAATTCAAAACATTCGTTATTTCACTAAACTGACGTGCCGAAAGGATTCTTTAAAAAGATACAAAGTAGACAACTAATGTTTCTTTATACGTAATTAATAATATTCAATAGGCAAACAATTTTTTTCACTTTCTACAAGATTTGACTTTAATTCAGGTTCAATTAAAATTGATTTTCCTTCACTGCAAAAGTTAACAACGTTCTTGCACATATCTAGTAGATTATTTATCGTTCAAAGTTATGAACGATTCTTTGCTCACTGTACAAAGCTTTTTTTTTGTTTTCAACAACGTAATTTTTTAGAACAAATATTAAAATATTTCTCGGTAAAACCTTGAGATTCTTTAAATAAACGCAACGCAGTTGAATGTTAATAACATGTGAAAGACAAAAGTTTCGGAAACAGTTCAATATTGATTGGAAGACAATTCTTCCGAGGACATTCGTCGAGTTCTATTTCAGTTGCAACGGGCGACAATCGCACGTGAATTTGTATATTTCATTGTTCTTAATTAGCAGCTTCCGTGCTAATTGCGGTCGACCGAAGTCGATTCGGGGAAAGGGGAAAGCGGTTCAATTACCTCTTCCACGGCGAGCGATATAGCGCCGGATATCCGGTAGCCGGGTCGCTGATACTCGAAGTCCCCTGGACGTCTTTTCGAGCCGGTGATGTAGCCGAGGGTGAAGGTCTCCGCGTCGGCGCTCTTGACGAGTAGAACGTGGATCGCCGTTAGTAATAGACAAGCCCTCTCCACGTTTGCCAGTAGCATGCCCAGTCGAGGAACCTTTTGCAAATTAATTAAGTTCACAAGGAAGCTATATAACCCAGGCTCAAAAGACTTCGGATCGATTTTCAATCATGACTGTGCTCACTTCAACGATAATAATGTTAGTTAGCCTTGTGAAAATGAATATTAATAAATAAATTAAACTATAGCAAGAAATAAAGTATGTAAACAAAAAATTTTCTCTATAATAATATAAATATCAATAAAGCAGATTATAATACTTAAAATTAACCAACGTTCATCTTTTCTGTCAACAATCTTAACCACTTGACACTAAAATAAAGATGTTATTGAAGTTGCTATAGTATAAATATTATTACATGTCTTATATATGTATCTGATATAAATAGACGAAAATTCGCAGTGTATTAATGATTATATAAATAACCTCTATTGGAAACAGTGATGTTCAGATTTGGACCTCAGCGATTCCTTAGTCCGTCGTTCGGTGAGAGGGTTAATCGCAGTGCTGAGAACACACTGCTCGATCGTTGATGGAATTATATTACATTTGCCGGGTGCTTTTATCATAGATTGCACCCTGTTCCCTCGTTCATCACGCGCGGGGGAATGCAATCGTGGCTCTCTACCACGTGTCGTCGCACGTGTGCTTTTATTTGCAAGCGGGTCCAATAAAAGCATGAGCTTGCGGGCGAAAGATATAGGGAAGGTAATGGATGAAACCAGTAAGCTCGACGGGGTTGCAATAAACACCATCAATCTCCTATGGAGTGGCGCACTTCCTCTTCCTGCATTTCGCCGCGGCGTTCACCGCAACCGCTGGACCACTACAATTCTCCCTTTGTCCCTGGTTTTCTAGGGAATTGTTGTGGTGGTATGAGACTGTTTGCGGGCACGACACGAGCCGTTGACGAGCCATTTTTTCATGTCTAGATCGGTCAAACCTTGTTATAGGAACTCCACAATTTTTGGAAGAACGCTGAGAAGATGAATGAAGTGGATAATACGAATCTCGTTAGTGAGTACATTGATCAATTATGTGAAAGTTTAGAGCGTTGCATGGTTTCAGAACAAATTAAGGGTTCTAAATGTTTCACTGAATGCATTCCTATTGTTCGGTAATGAAAGGTACTTGATTGAAGTCTAAAGTAAAAATTGGAATTAGAAGAACTAAACGTCTAAGCCCTTTGTAGCAATATGATAATCTCAAGCTCCATGTGTTTCTTCAGATTAAGTTAACACTGTTTATCAGTTTTAATAATAAATTTCCAGTGAAATTACTGTCACGAAAGTTGAATATTGATAAGCTGGAAATACTCCCAATCGAAGTGAATAGTATTCTAATATTTAAAATTCCACGCAAAATTTTCACAAAGAATCCACTTTAATCAGTTAACTGCGTTAGAGGAGTATACAATTCATTACTTGATTTCATTACGAGCATTGTCAGAGATGTCTGAAATTGAATTCCACGGATAATAGGTTAACATAATGCAAAGAGTTAATCCACACTGCTAATCATAAATAATAATTAAATTCGATTGTCAAGCTGATCAAACCCCATTCACTCTATTCTAGAACTCAGGACTGAATCCAAATATAATTTCTCAGCTCGCCAATAAACTGTGACAATCGAGCACATGAATATACATACGATCGAACGAGGATAACTCTCGATCGTGGCGATGTTTCGCGAACGCGTCCCGTATTCCCGGCGGGTCAGATGTTTTCCCACGAGCTGGTATCGTAGTAAAACAATTATTTATCTGCGCGGATCGCATCGGCCGTCCGATGCGGCGTTATTAATCAACGGCCGGTGACTCAACGCTAATCCTTTCTTCTTTTCCGCCCGTGGCATTCGCGGGTGCTCTAAACAACCTTCTCCCCGTTACATAATTAGCCGTCGGTGAACAGTTATACGCTTAACGTCTTGCCGCGTGCGACCTCGTCTTTTTTGACGAATTATTAAAATAGAGCACTATTAATAATAGGTAACGGACGGTTCCGTTCGGGTTTGCGATCAACGCGCCACCGCAAATGAGACAATAGACTATAATTAGACTTCACGCGTCACTCGCGTGCATACTTTTATCCTCTCATTTTTTCCGCGTAACGCTTGCCGGTGTCTCGGAGAAGGAAAAAAGGGTAATCTTCGAACGACGAAGAACTAAGCCATGATTCAGATCGCTGAGTCCTGGAAGAGTACTATTCGTGTCGAGGTAAATATTTTCGGGGATAATCAACACCTTCGTTTGTCGGAACGAGGTAACTAATGTACACTTTCGTTTATGAGATGTTGTGAACGAGATGTTTCGACAAACAATGTCGTTCGTGAGTTGCTATCGAGGAAATATGTTGTAATACAATGTCGTAATTATTAGTGTAGAAATTAATTAATTGATAGTTTAGAAATGGAATGTCCAAAGTAACTGATGAGTGACATTTTGTATAAATACTGAAGGAAGTGAGCGTAAGATATTACCTAAGCGTCATATGAACGATATTGCACTGCAAAATATCTCGTCTGTAGCACCTCATGAATGACATTGTTTGACGATATATCTTGTGAACAAAACTAGCTGGTTAAACATTACGATAAAAGGTACCGGAGATTTTTAAGTGATATGTCCAACACTGGTTCTTACATCATCTGCTATCTAAACGGGAAAACCCGTGAAGTCCAGTTCGGTACGCAACACCACGAGCAACGTAGATAAACTATAGATTAAAATTACAGTTATTAAATGTAATACAATATAAAGCTGAAAAAATGATTTAGAAAACAGTTTGTTTATAATCAACTCAATACCACAAAGAAACTCTGTTAAAATAGTAAACTGGCGCTGAAATCTCTCTGACTTCAACACACTGTTGACCGGTACATTTACCAATTATTATTCCGAAACTTCGAACATTTTGCTTTTGCAATATTCTATATTGTTCTGCGTTTCAAACATTGAAACAGCTAATATAAGCGCAAACACGAGTTAATCAGTGACCGGTTGACAATGAGTTAACAAACTACCAGTCCAGTCATAACAAACATCAATCCCCGAGGTTCACGCATCAACATAATTATCATACAACATACTCGTGAAGACATCAAATTACCCATAATAAAGATCGTGACACGTGATACATTCCGGAGAGCCTGGTGCAAAGGAAAGCGTGACGTGTCGTCAACGAAAACGCGTTCGATCCTTAACATCGGCGCGACGACAACGACCGTTAACGCAACTTTTGGGCCGCGCCGTTGTAATTAACAAGGTGGACGCGTGTACACGTTAAAGCCGCACGCGAGAGCCGATGCGCCGAAGGAATTGATTCAGCTCCGGGGCGGATGCATGGCGATCGATCGAAATGGGCGCGTGAGGGGTTTTCGGGGCGGCTACGGTCGGAATTATATCCGCCGGGGGCGCGGAACGCGGACGCGTCGCGCCTCTCGGTACCCAGCAATAATTAACCAGATAAGGATCGGAGGAACTCGGTGTTACGTTTCGAACGCGAGCAGCCGGGTTCTCCCCTATAGAGAGATTTATCTGCGCGTGGGATAACATTGTTCAGCATTTTTCAAGCCGCGCCCGAAAAAAAGAGGTGCCGGCCATGAAATTGACGTCGACCACCTTTCTTTGCCGGCCGGGTATTTTTCATCCTCGATTTACATGTTAATTGTGAAACGCGAGCCGAACCGCGCCGCGCCGCCGGTCCTAACGCGATACGTATCCCGGCCATAGCCGATTAATCAAGCCGCGAGCGGCCAATTGGTCTGTCGCGCGTGGCTCGACACGGTTTTAAATCGGCCCGCGAGATTTCATCTGGTCGGACCGAACGCTCGTTACTCTTTATCGACGAGCGAACCGCTCGATTTTCGGCCCGGCGAAATAGGCGACCGGACTTTCGCTAATTAGTCAACGGGCCAGCCGGTTGTGCAATTCCCAGGCCGGCCGGAAAGGTTCCGTTCGATTTGCGACGTCTTTATTCGCGGATCGGCTTCTCTCTACCGCTTTGAGTGTAGCGGCAACGCGTCGCTTGTTTTTAATTGGCGGGTTATCATTCGCTCGCCTTATCGATCCCATGTGACCGAATCAGGACCCGGTTACCAGACCTTCTTTATCAATTTCGGTGGAACTTTAGAGGGACCGTGGGCATTAAACCGGGCCAATCCTCTTAATCGTTATGGAAATTGAACCGGGCCGATTTCCGCCGCGTTCCCCTGGCCGACTCGTTATTCCCCGGTTCTCCTCGGTTTTATACTTCGCTTTATGTTGTAGGGCGTCCCGTGTAATCGCGGCGCAACGGTGTGGGGGTGATTGCTTATGAAAAAACGAGTCGAAATTACGGAATGAGGTTTCGAATCCCATAAAGAATCAGCTCTTGAGAAAAATCGGACACTCCGGGATAATGTGGATTATTCGCGATCTTATGTTGCCGGCGTCACGCATAACGGGAGGATTATTTTTTAGTGACCCGGTTTTTTGGATTGCTTGTCGGGGCTTGCTCTTTACGATTCGTACGTTGGTGTTGGGATAATGTGGTTTGTTTCCTATTATTTCTGTTGAGTACCTTGGACTGTAATGTGTTCCTTATTATCGATTCACGTATTTACCCATTTTTTAACGTTCCTCGCTACAGTTTGTTTTCGTGAAAATGTTACTAAATTACTTTTATTTCCTAGATTTATCTTCCTCAAGGATTTTTACAATTTATGCAAATAACCTAACCAAGACCTGACAAAGACCTAACCTTTTTTCCAAATATTCATGAAAAGTCACATTTACCATAAATATTAGGGGCACCCATCAGTTGTCAATCTTTTTTAAATGGCTGAATAAATTTAAGCTGACTTAAATATATTAATTAGTGATAATTTTTTTATTAATTAGCTAAAAAATATAAATTCACATTCAAACTTTGCAAAATATCGTAAAAAAGCCATCCTCACGAATAAATATATTTACATCAGCTTAAATTTATTCAGCTATCTAAACAAGATTGACGACTTATGTGTACCCTTAATATGTCAACGAATCTTATTC